TTAGCAGGTAATTACATAGAAGTATTGAATCAATTATGGTGTTCGAAGCCATTTCACGCAATGAGCATTGACTAAGAAAAATTGTTTCTGAGTTTTAACAAATCCTTTAAGTGCCCATTTGAATTCTTACACAGCACAAACCAAGTATATAAAAATAGAATCACACATGATAAGTGCTTTAATTAGGGAAAAGTGAAATTTTAGTCTTACTTTTTCCTTATGAAACTGATGTTACTTGAATTCCCTTAGTATTTGTTTCTATTAAAACATTTAATTTTAAGTTTAGTGCTGAGACTGCTCAGTTAGAAGTGCTTGCCATGCAGACATGAGAACCTGACTTCAGCCTACAGAACTTATGTCAAAAAACAGATGTGGTCCCCTGAGGTACTCCCAAGGATAAAAAGGCAGATATACATGTATCCCCCAAGACTTGCTGGCTAGCTAGCCTTGTGTACTTGAAGAGTTTCTAGGCTAGTCAGAGATCCTGTCTCAAAAACAAACAAACAAAAACACTTTTTTAAAAAAGTGTATGGTACTTGAGAAACTACACTCAAAGTTTCTCTTTGCTCTTCACAGACAGATACACACACACACACACACACACACACACACACACACACACCCCAAAATTGAACATTTAAAATTGTTTTTGAAAAGCTGAAGTCACCAATTTGGAAGAAAGTAAGCCAGAAAACTTATCCTATACTCTAAATGATTAACCCACATAGCCTTGGATATGAAGAAAAATCACAAACCCTGTGCATTATTTCCCTGTCCATGAAGCTCAATCAATCTGCTTATGGGTTAGTAGAATCAGATTGTAGTAGTAATAACGTTTTTAAGTTGTAGAACGCTTACATAGTCTAAGCGTTTTGATAATTACACTTGTGGTTCTGGTTGCTATGGTATTGCCAAAACTTTCCAACTAAAATTAAATGAGATTATTTTTGAAAACCGAATTCTCTTATGAAAAGTAAAATTGATCCTCTTAATGCCTGACAGTTTAGAACTAGCTTCATATAGTCCACCATACATATAGAAACCTTACTTGTAAAATTTTTTAAATTTTTTCACATTTCTTGAAGGAATCGGTCACCAGAGTGTGCACAGTTTCGTGTGTTGAAAGGACGAATACGTGGGTGAAATTTGAGTTATAGATATATAATAAAGTGGCCAATTTATCCAAAATGACTGAAGGAAACCCTCCGCAATCTTTGCACTATTTCCTTCAGTAAATTTGTTGTGTAATTAAATTAAGTTAGTGGAATAGCTGCCCTACTTAGGCAGGAATTCCTTCATGACCTCTTTCTATGTGCATACTACCTTGTTAATCTGAGTTTCTTATTAAGTTAGTGAGTTTTCTTTTACTTTTAATCATCAACCTCCAATAAATGTTAAACAAAGCAGCAGCAGGTATTTTAGTATTCTTCTGTTTCTTGGTAAGAAGGTCATGTTACTGACCTAACCTAGGCCTTTGCTCAGCAAGCACTTTGCATGAGTTATACTCCTGACCGTGGTTCTATGGCTTCATTATTATTATTATTAATTTAAAACCATTTTTATATTTTAAAATATTTAAATATATTTTGATCATATTCTTCATCTCCCTCAAGTCCTTCCAGATCCTCTCACTAACCTTACCCAAACCAAATTTAAGTTCTTTCTCAAAAACTGACCAAAACCCAACTTCTAGAAAACAGTGTATGTTTGTTTCTTGCTCTGTGAGGGAGATGAGTTATGTGAGTGTAACACTCCTGCGTGGAGACACCACCACCTCACGTTTTACTTTTTACTTCATTCTTGTCAATTACTCTAGTTTTCATTTAGCATAATTACAGCGGAGCTCCATACATCTCACTGAATTAATTTCTCAACAACTGTGAAGCTGTTACTAACGTTATTTTGCCATTTGTTTTTAGATGCCACCAGGTGTGTGCTTTACAACAGTCTGTATTTGTTTACCTGTATGTAAGTTTTCAATCGTTGCCCTCCTTAATGCCTCGCTAATGGTTGAAGGCAGCGTAGTTCTCCACTCCCTGTTACACACCTGGACACAGTGATAACGTCGAAGTTTTCTAGTGTAGAGAGTCCATTATACCCACTGAAGAAGCTAACGTCTTGTTTGTCCAAGAAGTCATTTTTTTCCCCAAAAAAAGCTCCTTCATAGTTTGATTTACACAGTTTGGAAGAACACATTGGGCATACATAAGATAAAATTAGCCGCAGACTTGTATAGAATGAAATTAGCCTGTTTATGAGAACATCTTTCTAGACTATATTGTAAAAATAAGTCCGTGTAGTGAAGATCAAAACTCCAGCTTCAAAAACTTAAAAACTAGAATGCTATTAACATTCTCCTTAGTGACTGGTCGTTGTATTAGGCTCATATTTTGGTTCAAACAGTGACAGTCAACTCTTTATTTGAAGTGGAAGTTTGAATTGATGCTCCTATGATAAGAATCTGCACATGCGGGGATTAATTTTTTGAGTTCTGAAGAGGAAACTCTGGCAAGCTTCATGCCGGTTAAACACTGCTTGTCAAACACTAGCTAATTCATGAGTAAAGCGGTAAGCCGAAATATTTGCAAAATGCATCAGCAGCACAGAGCTAAGTTCCTGGGGAACAGGGGGAATAGGCCTTGAGGAGGTGCTGGGGATAAGCGTTCCTAGCAGAGCATTTTTTTGTTGAGATTTGGAATAGTTGCGTATGCATAATGAGGTATCTTGGGAAGAGACCTGAAGTCCAAGCAGACTAGTTCTGTGTAGTATTTCCGACATGCTCCCCTGTTGGCTACCACCTGTCTTTTGTTGTTGGTTGTGGCGTATTCTTCCTGTGTTGCCACACTAGCCCTAAAACCATTCTAGATAGTTTTTGATTTTTCAGACTAAAAAAAACCCACAAAACATTAAAACTCAATGAGAAAAGTTTGATAGAGAAAAAAATGGGCAAATAGTGTTGATGAACTGTTTTCAGAAAGGAAAGAGCATCTACATTTATAACTGAGCTTAATTTTGAATGCATAATTTAATTACATGTAAAAATACAAGAGTTTTCACACTGATCGTTCCGTGTGAATATCTATATTTGTAATAGCAACAAAGAGTGATAATCAATCTCTGCTGATGGCAATCTGAATGTATCCTTTATTTTCCGTTTTAAATGGATTCACATAGAATCCTAAATGGGAACATTGTGATTGTAATTTCTTTGAGACAGAGACCTGAAGGATTTTGAGCCTTGGCTAAAAATGATTTAATTTTAACATTCAATCCTTTGTATTGTTTCATCTTACACTGGCATTGGATCTCTAACATAAAACAGGATTGGAGGGTAAGATACATACACCCAGTGAGTAAATATCGCCTGGCTATCTTCTGCATATCATGAGCTCTGCAGGCATGCTGGGAGTACAGCATTGAGTGTCATATTGTCTCTTCTCAGTGGGATCATCTCAGTCTCTAAATTGCTAGGTTCCATGAAGACGACTGTCCTTTTGTGGATTATAGAGCAGTTTATATTATGTAAGTTAATCCGTCTCCACGAAAATCTTGCAAAGTAATTGTAGCACTCTCTTGCCCAAAGAAGAAAAAAGGGATGTGTGTTTACTGAGTTTACTCAGTTAAACTCAGACCAACCCTGAGGAGTGGGGACATTATCATCTCCATTTTATGGAGGGCAGGGAGAAATGTTAAGTTCTGTAAGATGCTTGGCAATTTAAGAATGAATCTTCAATCTTACTAACCTGTTCTGCCCAAACCTTATTCAGCAACCTGAATCCACTGCCACTTTTCAAATGCACGATGTAAGATTCATAGGTTACATAATTAGTTTAGGATTATACTATTGGCACTCTGTAGCATACTGTCTGTCATCAGAGAGCTCTGCAGTCAGGGACACAGAAAGCCTCTCTGATGGCTCCCTGTCCTGATAAGGGCTGCTGACGAGTCACAGCTATATAACTTCTTTAGGAAAACAGCTGTGGAATTAAAAAAAAAAAAAAAAAAAAAAAAAACAAAAAAAACATACTTTGTTTTATGAACTCATTTCCTCTATCCAGGTAGTAACCAACTAATTTGTTGTGTTTAATAGCTTCAGTGTGGACCCTTAAGAAAGCTTCAGGATCACACTATCAAAGGCTGATATAAATTAAAACCTGCCTCTGCTTTGCAAAAAGACTTGTCAATTTAGACTGAAGGCTGTGCTAACAGAATTCCAGCTTTTCTATGGGATGATCCAAAAACAGCAAACAGAGGGCACTAAGTTTCTTAACAGCCGCAAGTGTGTGCATGCTATGCCATTCCTGTCATTAGCTGCTTTTCGGTTTATAGAGATCAGTGTTAGAACATTTTGGTTTACAACCCCACATGTTCCATAGAGGACTATTTTTGTTGTGCATTGGGAAACAAAAGCAGGGTAATTTAAGATGGCAAGGTCTAGGCACTTTACTTCATGTTGAATGTTTGTGTTTAGTCTGACTTGGGGACATTTGCCTCGACAGTGTGCCTTCATATGTGACAGACATTTGTGGGATTAAGATCTTGAGTTGTTTCACTTGCTCGGTGCAGAAGCAGGTTGACACAGGTACTCTGATGTGAAGCAGAGAATGTGAAATAAATGTGACTGTTAAATTAAGATGAGGCATGGCTTAGTGGGTTAAGCAATACTTAACCTTGTGTCTTCCGCACATGCTTCTCATTCTTAGGAACTTTAGTGACAAACTTTAAAAAGAGAATGCAAGAATTAGTTAATGACTTGCATAAAAGCAACACAGCTTAGTGAAATAAATGATTGTGTGCAGACGTGAAGGGTCTTTTGTTCACCCAGAGTGCTCCTGAGCTGTCTTCCCTCTCTCCAAAGGCTTACTCATTAGAAGAGCATGGACACAGTATGGATCGACTTAGCACATCATTTCCACCCACTCCACAGAGTGACAGTGGGCAGGAGAGAAATGGAGGCTGTAACACATGACCAAAGCTCTTAAATCCCTTTTCAATTACAGCAAATTCCGTAAAGCTAGAAATGCAGAGTGATGAAGAGTGTGACAGAAAACCCCTGAGCCGTGAAGACGAGATCAGGGGCCATGATGAGGGGAGCAGCCTAGAAGAACCCCTAATTGAGAGCAGCGAGGTGGCTGACAACAGGAAAGTCCAGGATCTTCAAGGCGAGGGAGGAATCCGGCTTCCGAATGGTAAACTGAAATGTGACGTCTGTGGCATGGTTTGCATTGGGCCCAATGTGCTTATGGTACATAAAAGGAGTCACACTGGTAAGCAGCTGAACGCATAACCTGATGACTGCCTGTGGATCTGATGTTGATATTACCTGACACCTATTCTCTTTCCTTTTTATTCAGGGGTGGCAATGTGAAGTTACCTTTTCAGAATTCTGCTAGTATTGGATTGCTGGGAAGCAGAAAGTAGCCTGGGTCTTGACTTCCAGCCTTCAAATCTGAATAGCATGTCAGAAAAGAAGTTTGGGATTCAGTTTCCACAGTTCTTAATATAGCAATAATATGATAAGGGTTCAAAAGGTATAGGAGAATTTCATTGAGTGATTTAATCTTTTTATATCTGTCTACATATTTCACCATACCCATGGGCAGGTAACATAGTTTGCTTCCTAGGACCATATACTATTGAATAGCACTCACACATTTTCACTTTAGTTAGCTCCTTGAAATATTATTTCTGGTCAGTCTTTGCCTACCAAAAGTCTCTGTAGCGGGCAGGTAATATCACTAGTTCAAGGGTGCTAATATTATCTTGTAACTTTTACTTTTAATTCTAGGGGGGAAAATGGATATGGTTTAACATGTTAAAGGGAGCCAGGAGTGTAGACAGAGATGTGGAATTAGGTGAGGAAAAGGCCTATGGATAATTTAATATTTTCTTTTAGACATGGAAAGATACAAGTACTTCATAAAAAAAAAAAAACAGGCCAAATGAGAAGGAAAGAGTGTTATATAAATCTACTCAAAGCTTTTGAAAGAAGGAAGGAGGAATAAAAGACAGAAGGAGGGGGGGCGGGGAAGGAAAGAGTGGGTAAAAGCAGCACAATGAAATTGTGTGTGTGCATTCTTACAAACTTTCAAGTTCAGCAGGATATGGGGCACACACCTGTAACCCCCGTGTTTGGCAAGCGGAGGCAAGTGAGTCAGCGTTACCCTAACTTATCTAGAGTTTGAGCCCAGCCTGTGCTTTGTTAGACTGTCCCCAAACAAAACAATAACAAAGATTTTTCCCGACAGGTGTGGTGGTACATATCCTTAGACCCACTACTTGGGAGGCAGAGGCAGGAGGATCTCTGTGTATTTAAGACCAGCCTGGTCTATAAACTGAGTTCCAGGCTAACCCTAGCTACATAGTGAGACCCTTTCTAAAAAAGAAAGAAACAGTTAAAGGAATATATCTCTTACTAAAACATGGTAGTATTCTCTAGCAAAAATGTTAAAAATCAATATTCTCTGTTTTAAAAATGTGATATTCTTTTGAAAGAATGAGAAATCACGTGAAAGAAATATATTTTAAAGTTGCCTTCTACAAAATCAACTTAAAACTTTTATCGTAAAACATGTGCTGTAAATTATACATTAAATCATTTTTAATTAAGACCTCTTATGACACACATGAAGAAATTCAAGTGATCTGCCATATATCCCTTACCTAGGAAAAAAAATCCCCAGTGAGGCTGGAACAATGGTGTTCGGATTCCTAGACTAGTATAGTTTGGACACACATGGCTGGGCTCTTATTATACAGCTTATTAGTATAAAGTATGACTGTAAACTAAGGCTAATATCTTTACAGGAGAATTTTTACATTTGGATTAATGCAATCATCATCCACTTTCCAGTGTATGCATTTTTTAACATTTTTAACATTTTTAACCATAACAATTAGTATTTTTTGTTATGAATATTCTTTTTAAACACTGTCACATTTAAAAGTGTTTATATCACTAATGAATTTTTTTGAATTGGGGAAAGTTAAGGTATCAAGCTTTGATATCTATTCAGTAAAAAAACAAAAAAACAAAAAAAAACAAGAAGACTATAAAGTTAATCTACTTTCATTCCATGCCCATGAAACAATACTGGCCTGGAAAAGGAGTTTTCATAACTGCATTCATTATGTTAGAGTGTGTGTCCTGAAGCTCATAAAACACCTATTCAAATTAGTAATTTGATTTTGAAATATTAAATAGTTCAGTTACTTTGAAGTTGAATTTTATTTACTGATAATTTTAAGAGTCAAGTTTATACTAAATACTAGTTTGGGAAGATTTTTAATAAAAGCTCTTAGTTAAGAAAATTCAAAGAACATGAAAACCCTTTCTTGAAGATTTACGTTTAATTTGTACTTTACTGTATCTGTTGTGAAATTTACTGATTTTTTTAAATAAAATTTAATAAAATAATTCAACACCTAGTCCTCTTTCCACTTCATACTTGCTACAAAAGTGGAATGGAATTATTTAAACTCTGAAAATGATGTAATTGATATAAGGCTTGTTTATAAATAGTTACACAGATTCTTGCAGGTCTCAGAATATGAGACTCACTAGTAAGGGCAAGGAGAGAAACCTAAGCAACTATTTCAAGTTCGTTCAGCACAAACTCCTTTGCCTTACTGCATTACTTTGAAAACTAGAATTCCTTCTTCAGATCTAGGAGACTTTTTTTATTTCAATGTATCTTCATAGAGAAGCCTAGGCTAATACTATGACATTCTGTTACATGTTCTTAAAATAGACCTAAACTATACATTTCTGACAACTTAGTTGATCCCAGTAGATTGTCATATTCTCAATTCCACTGTAATACTGTTTGATAACAGGCTTATTTGTGTTTCTTTAAACTACATGTAGAAAGGTGTCTTGGGGTGTTATTGCTGTGAAGAGATCCAATGACCATGGCAACTCTTACAAAGGAAAACATTTAATTGGTGATAGCTTACAGTTTCAGAAGTTTAGTCCATTATCATCATGGCAAGAAGCATGGAGGCATGCAGGCAGGCGAAGTGCTGGAGAAGGGGCAGAGAGTTCTCAATCTTGGTACGCAGACAGCAGAAGGAGACTGCCATACTAGGCCTAACTTGAGACTGAAAAGCTCCCCCCCCCAAGTGACATATTTCCTCCAACAAGGCTATACCTATTAATAGTGCCACTCCTATGGGCCAAGCATTCAAACACATGAGTCTATGAGGGCCATGCCTATTCAAAACCACCACAGAAGGTATCATCACAACCTAGTCTTTAACCAACTGTTTTCTCTATAGTAGGAACTACTGCCTTCATTTTAGAGTTTCCTTCTCTCTCTCTCTCTCTCTCTCTAAATATATATATATAGTAGTGAAACAAAAGCCATATTCTTAAATCATTTGTGAGGCCCTTGCGAAGGATGTTTTGAGTGTTTCTAGCTCATAAATTATCTAACATACAATTGGCTATGAATAAGAAAATAAGAAAGCACCCAGTTTATTCCAGTTACATGGGCTCTCAAGTCTAATGCACCTTTCTTCTTTCTCTTTTGTACTCTACTAAAATGCCAATTCCAGTGTCTCTTAATGGCTTGCCATTACCTCTTTGCCATTGCTACTTTAGTAAGTAATCAGGTAATATTTTCATCAGATACTTCTGGCACTCTTCACTAGGAATATAGGGTACAGGGAAAAAATAAAATAAAGGTAGTAACTCAATTCACGTGTGAACATGAATGTATAGAAAATTATAAGTATAGACAGTCCTTAAGTTTGCTCCTCTTTGGGATTTCGCTTTTTTGTCATTGTGTCTAAACACTCAGCATCCTGTTTTGTAAACTACAGCATTTTTCAGCCATTCTTTGCCCCAAGGCTCTCTAATGTTTGTTGGTTTTCCAACCCAACACAGGAACACAGGTCTTGTCTTTGACTCACAAAAGCAAACTAGTCTCTGCTGATTTGCATTTCATTTGAATACTCAAACACATTTTAAATGTGTTTATTCAATTATATAAATTGCTGAAATTCCATTTCTCCACAATGAAAACAAGGGACCAGTAAATTGGTAGACTGGCATTTAGAGAATACAGCTTAGAATGAGGGTGTACATCTGTAATCCTTGGAAGCAGAATCAGGAAAGACCAGGAGTTTGAAGCCGGTATCTGTTCTAGAACAAGTTCAAGGCCAGCCTGAGCTTCAGAAGACCTTGCATCCAAAAGCCATGAAACATAAACAAAGGCCACAATCAGCTTTAGAATGGACATGAGGAATACCATGACCACATTTCAGTTCATTCTCTTATTAGTCCAGTCTTCTGTACCTACCACTGGGAAGGTCAGCCGTCAAAAACACAATTTCGTGCTTTGTTTTTGAGTTGGATCACTCTAAGATATTAGTAATATAAGCAAGGAATCTGTGGGAATTTTAAAACTTTTGTTTCCATTTGTATATGAAGAACATAATTCTTTATATAACTATTAGCTGACTCAAAAAGAGCCACCTGGTTTTCCATTTGGTTTAAAGAACAAATTAAAATAATTCAGATGTATTGTTTAGAGTTCTCATGACAGTATACCATTGTTTTGCATTTATATAGAGAAAACGTAGGTAATTCTTTTAACCTGAATTCAAGATAATTATACCTGTATTTTCACAATATCTAAACTGGTAAATATCCCACAACATTGAATATCAGGCTTCTAATACTTTACAGAATTTTTAAAAATTGAGTTGATGTATCTTTTAATTCTTTGTTAAGTAGCTAGGAATACACACACACACACACACACACACACACACACACACACACACTGTATTGGAGTATTCCTAAAATTTAATTATGTATATGAAGAGAAAGTTAATATAGTTTTTCCTCTTCTCCAATAGTAGCATTATTGAGGATGTAACTCTAATTCTAACTTTAATGTTGAGTGCAATAACACAGCCGTGTTGTCAGAGTGCTAGTTAGTTCATTATAATCAAGGCACTAAGTGTAGTTAATCTGATTTCCTAGTAAAATTATAAAGCCTGGAACTGATAAAGCCAAAGAGTGAAGAACATTGATGGAGATTTAATAGTAATTCCTGCCATTATATCTCAAAGGTTTATATGGTTGAAATTGGAATACCCTGTGGCTAGAATCTTTTCTGTTATCAGAAAGGAGCTACGGTTTAAACCACATCTTGCCTTGTTCTTTACCTCTCATGCCTGTGGACACATACAGAGACCTCAATATATAGTCAGCAACAGAGCCATATTCCCAGATGTACCTAGAGTCTCTTTCATTGTCACACCCTCTGAAGGATTTTGTAAATACTAACACAAAGTTACCCCATTGTTAGACTCATTAAACTTGATTAGATTTTGTTTTAAAAAAATCTTTTTAAAGAGGATCCTCTTAGTGTTATTTCCTCTTCAGACTAGCATTATTTTAAATAATTTTAAATAATGAATTAATGACTTTAATGTAGGGATTAAAACTACCAATTCAAAGGTTATAAATGGTATAAACACTGCAAATCAGCTTGCTGCAAAAGCAAACATGAAGGCAATTTTTTTCAACAGACCTACTAATTTAATTTCTTTTCACAGTTATTGTGTACCAGTTTGTCAGTTTCCTAGTAAAAGTTTAAGAGTCCAAGAGTAAAACTGAACAGTTAAAGTCAAAAGCATATTTTATATTTGTTGTTTCCTTTATTCACAAAGCTACTTTGTTGAAGTACCCCTGTTCTTCCTTTTATTAAAATTCCATGTCAGGGCGGAGAGTAGATAATTATGATTTTTAAAGTTGCACTCTGTTATTTCCTTGGAGAAAAAAAAATTCAGAGTCAAAGCTAATTGTATCTGTGTATAAAATGAAAAAGATCTTGAAAGCATAGATTTAAGCATAGCAGCAGACACCCATAAGCACGTGCATGGACACTTTAGATAGGGTGACCTTGAGTTGAAGGCCACCTTGGTCTACACAGGAAACCCTGTCTCAACAAGGCAGAATATTTGATCAAAATTCGATTTTTGAGACAGGGTCTCACTATATAGACCTGACTGTCCTTGAATGCTTGGAGATCTTGTCTATGCCTCCCACGTGCTGGGATTAAAGGCATGTACTACCACTCCCAACAGGAATTAGATTTCTAAACTAAATCATAGAGGTGTTTTAGACTTCAACAAATCCAACTAATTGAATAAAATTGAGTCTAAGCTAACTTTAATAAGATGAAATTTTAAGCATGTTATCTTTTTCCGACCTTTTATAACTTAGATCTGACAGCTCCACATCTTTTTAAGGAGTAAAAAGCCCGTCATACCCCAGCCTGTTGGTATGCACATCATTAATTTTCAAAAGGAATACATGCTGTAGAATCCAGTATGTGCTTGATCTTACCTGGTTTTAAATTCTTTCGGTTTTGTAACAAAAGTGTAAGACAGAATACGCAGTGGCCAGAGAGTGACCAAACCTTATCTGTTTTTGCTTCCTAGCTTTCTTGAATAGAGAAACACTGGGCTTGCATTATATAATGGGCCAAATATATTCTGAGCTTTACTTCACTATTGATATAAATATAATGATACATGAATGTGTCAATTCAGAGTACAAGTTACGAAACCTATGCAAATTATCCCTATTACGGAACAAATACAGAAAAGGTTCCTTTCAACTATAAGGAAGTGTTTAATTTTGGTTTCTCTCTAAACTCTGAGCTTTAGGATGAGCTATTTTTACCATATGTTTATAAGTCAGTTTACCATTTATTTAATCTATGCTTACAGACAGGCAGATGAAAAGTAAGAGTGTTTTCCTCATGGTTTGATAGTGTTATCCATTTTATCTTACCAGTTTTACTGACTTCTTGCCTGCAAGGATTTTTTTTTAATCTTTGATAACTTTGGTGACTACCAGTTGAAGGCAATAAACAAATCTAATAATGCAGGCTTAAATAATTTTTTAACAGTTTCATTGAAAGAGAAACAGGAGAAAAGATTCCTATTTAGCATGTTTTCTTTCTTTGTTTTTTGGTTTTTTTTTTTTTGTTTTTTTTTTTTTGTTTTTTTTACAAAATAATGTAATTTTTCAGAAAATATCTGGAAAGATAATATTCTTTGTATTCTCTCAGATAACACTGGGGATTTTTACCGAAAGTTTTATTGTTGATGGCTAAGAGAGCAGGTGATTGTCTCTATTTGGAGATTTCATTCATGAGCTTTGAAGGTTTATCTGTTGTTTCTGCCTATTTCGTTCCTCTCGCTGACCAGGTTCAGTGTCAGTATTATCAGATACTCTGCTTTTGTTGACTTCTCATTCTTTATTCCTAAATTTAAGTTGATACTTCCTAATTATTACCACGACTGAGGATCGAAGTCCTATAGGGAAGGCAGCAGTCACCTGAGTGGTGACAGCTAGCTGTTGAGCCTCTGTTGAGTTGCTGTTATTACTGCTCTCAGGACAGGACTCTTGCCAAGTTTATATTAAATGAGGAGATGACTACCTGACCTGAAGTTTGAGAAGTTACATTAGCAGAGAGATCCTCTAGGAGAAGGTGAAGGTGGTCATTGAGGTGCTAGGGAATTGTCTGTGGTTAACTGTGGACGGCCGCCATTGCCTTACAATAACCAGTCTGCTCTCTCCCGCTCTGTCTGCAGGTGAGCGCCCCTTCCACTGTAACCAGTGTGGAGCTTCTTTCACCCAGAAGGGCAACCTTCTGAGACACATAAAGTTACACTCTGGAGAGAAGCCGTTCAAATGTCCTTTTTGTAGCTATGCTTGCAGAAGAAGGGACGCTCTCACAGGACACCTCAGGACCCACTCTGGTAAGTGTCACCACGTCAAAGCTTAAGTTCAAAAGCAATTGTAGAGTTCCACTAAGTCATAAGTAGCTTTGGCATAGAGAACCTTTCCCGTGTGTCTGTTAGTACCGGTAGGCCCGTAAGATTACACGGACCTTCATAGATCAACAGGCTTAAAAAGAACACCGCCACTCAAGAGTATCTTGTAGATGGAACATAAATTTTCTTTAATTTTTAAGTCTGAAAATTTGTAAGTCTAAAAGCAGTAATTATGTTTAATCCAGGGTGAGTGAGGCCTAGTGAAGTGACACACTTACTTTGTGAAGTTTCCAGAATTCATGAGAGCTGTAGGGTTTCTTAACCAATCAGGTAGTGCTCAGGCTTCGAGCTCAGTGAGAAATCAATTATTGTTCTTCTTAAACTTGAAAGGACTCATTAGAAAATCGAATGTTGGAGTAATTTCTATTTTATTTCTCATGCCTTGTTTAGATAGCTTTAAAACTGTAGCCACTGGGAAAGAACTGAATGTTTTATCTGCTTCATAAATGATTTAATAACCTAGAATGTTTGATGTGCTAAGAAAATACCAGAATAACAATACATAAATGAGGAAGAACAGTCAGAAATCTGAATGACTCTCATCTGATTTCAGTGTGAATTGCCATTGCTAAGAAGTTAAAGGTAAAAAAAAATTATAATAAAATACTTTCAAAGCAGGTGTACATGCTATGTGTATAATGACGTGTTAAACTTAAGTTCTAATATAAAGATCTGAGAAACTGATATTCTCACGAATATTGACAGAGTATATTACATAGTTGGGGGAATGTGGGAGAATGCGTAAGCATATTAGCCTTCTCTACGTTTTCTTGATATCCTTAAGGCTGAAGTTAATTTTAAGATGAATATGAATTACAGAAAGCAATTTTAGACATTAACTGTTTAAATTGGAACAGAAATAAAAGTCAAATTAATGTGCACATTAAAACAAAATACTCTAAACTTTTAGCTTCTTTCCTAATTGAAAAGTAATTTACTTATTTACATGGCATGTATTTTTTGAAAATCATGCTTCTCCAGTTATCATTTTACTGTGAAAAATATCATAAGTTGAGAGATACTTCTGAGAGATGCAGGTATTTTCTTCAGTTTCCTATTTATTCTAACTCATTGAAGTGTTACTGAGCTAAGGACTGTGTACCTTATAAAGAGTTCATGAAGATATCTTTTTGCCTCAGCTTCATACAATAATTGTAAACACTTTAACCCTTTTGTTCTCAGACTCATGCATAAAGGATATCTTTAGGCCGTGTGCTGTATCCGTAGAACGTACTAAGACGAGCCTTGATAGTAGCCATGCAGTGGCAGGCCATTTTACCACTCCATTTAGCCAGCTGGTTATGGACGATGGAGCATGAGGAATGTGGATGGATTCTGTAGGTTTCAGTCTATTGACCTTTTTCCATCATTTTGTTGTTGTTGTTGTTGTTGTTGTTTTTGTTGTTGAAGCAGTGCAACAAGGGGCATCATGGTACTTGGTCAGGTATTCTGTTCAATGCATTCAGGGAGCAGCTTAGGAAGGAAGAGCAAATCCCTCGTGAACATCTTTCAATTCCTATGAGGGTGAATGTCTCACTTCTCCATATTATAAGGAGTCCAGCATAACCTACGTGGTATTACTGGCTGGCTGACCACTTGGGGAATATCAGGATCTTAGCATTGAAATTCTGAGCTCAGCAGTGGTAGTAGCTACATCAGTTTCCTGGGGATAAGGGAGTAACTGTAATTGAACTTGTAGCTACAGTCCTTGCTCCTATTATCATTCAAACACAGGTCCACTGAGCAAACACTAGGGTAGTAAGTTAAGCGCTTGGCTGATGTCCACAAGAAGTTTTACTCCGTTCAAATTACTAGACGCCTTCTCCATAGTGGATTCATTTAAGAAGGTTTTAATGTACGGCACCATATTATCATATTTTGTATCAATTCTGAGGGTTACGTCTACATAACTCTCCCCAGACCTCTATCATGTCTTCTTTTTTGTTAGCCGTATGGCCATGCCATGAGTCATTTCCTTAGGCTATCTCTTCTTCCATGCACAATATACAATCAAGAGGACTTGATGAAATCCAGGATGCTGAAGAACCTCTTTTCTACTATGTCAAGGCTGACTTCTTTAAAGTGAACCTGAAAACAGGGTTGTCATATCTAGCACCAAGTGCTATGCAAGTCATTTACAAACTAGACTTGCAACATATATTCCATTAGCTGTATTGCTAACACACCACAAGGTGATTGATGTACGTTGAAACCCAGACAGAGTGTGTAGTAGCAGTTACCATGGACACCGAAACCACTTGTTCATGAAGCTTCTTTCGGTTCTCCAACTACTTGGCGCAAGTTCATTTAACAGCAAAATGCTGTTGTTATATCCTTTTCATATTATGATATGATTTAACAGATAATGCCTAATTCATTGGATATGATTCAGACTAGCATAATTAGCATCTAATAACAAATTAAGACTTTTTTTTAATAGAGAATAACCGTTAGTTAAAGATCTTTATGGCAAAACCATTATAGAGCTTATTTTAGCACCCTAAGTTATGTATGATATAGCACCTCTCCTCACCACTGATTTTTCCAGAAATAATTGTTGTGTGCTGGATCATAAAAACCCAAGGCCGTAGGGTAGCTTTCATCATGAGGGTGTATTGCAGGCCCCCCTTCGCTTCGTGATCCTCTTAACACTGGCAGCCAGGTTTACTTGGGGCATCTATCAAAGCAGCGAACTCTGACATGACCTCTGCTGCTTCCAGAACCCAGAGACCGCCGAGCACTGTGGAATTGCAGGTTACAGAACTTTGTCATGAGGCATAGGAGACTGATTTCAGTCAGCCCAGACCACTGGTGTTTTAAGATCTACCCAGTCCAGAATGCCCCTAGATTCTAGGTTGAGTTCACCCACCATCCGCTAGCGTTTATCTTTGGACGCACGTTGGAGGCTTGCTGCTTCCTGGTCACCAAGGGCAGCTGCTGCAGTGTCTCATGGTAGGCAGAGATGAAGATTTCTCCCGATTATTGTTGTGAGGAAAGGGGGCTTACCGGTAAGAGAGGGAAAGCATGTTTTCCCTGCAACGTGGAGGCACGCTACCTCTGATTATCTTGTCAAGGTGGCGCCTCACTTGAGGGCAGTGTCTGTGGTAAAGACTTCAGTGTGAAAGACATTGGGTTTTGGTGTTCTGGTGTGACAGGGTCTACACTCATCCACAGACATACCCACCTGTGTAGTGATAGGTTTATAACATGCTTTCTTACGCCTCCTCTTTCCATTTGTTGATGCAATGTTTCTTCCCTGTCGTTGTTCCATGACAAAGAATTAGTAGTTTAGGTGTTGATCATTTTATACAACAATGTAATTCCACAGTCCTTCAAAGCAGACTTTGGGATTGGTCTTCAGCCATATTTGCTCTAGGCTTATGTAAACAATGGTCCTTTAAAGCAGACAAACTCTCTTAGATTATACCTTTGTTTTACTGGAGCATTTTCTGCATCCCTTAGAGCCATTAAATCCTGTATTCACAAGATGAGTTTTCTTCTCTCCACCCATTCCTATACCTGTATTAGCATATAGATGTCATAGTTTCCCAATCCTTACCCTATGCCACACTTCATTCTTTGCTACCAGCAGTGGCAACACCATGCTCAGGCTCACCAACTGCCCATCAGTGACCCAGTAAGGAGGCTACCCAGTTCTTTTTAACTCTTTTTAAGCCTGAGCAATAAAATCAAATTTCTATTTTGACCGATTGGACAGCCTTAGGCCATTTTTCCACCCATAATGCTTGCTGTGTTCTAAGGATCCTAACTGTAAAACAATGCACCACTCAATAGGGACCATTAAAGGGGAAGCGTTTGCAAGGGAATGGTTAGACTTAAGGGAAACTAATAATAGTGCTATACTAAAGCACTGAAACTAACTATTGAAGGGTGCCATACCTGCCACTAATCTGAATGGCAAGGGACCGAGCAGTCACTGGCATTAAGTAGCAAGGACTTGAGCACTGACATTGTGTGGAGGAAAGCAGCCCTGCCAGCTGGTGACATGGTGCATAGAAACTGACTCTCCACCTTCCAGTGTCCTTCTGATACCTCACCTTGACTAAGTGTACCCAGAACTGAGGACGAGGAAGCCCGCTAACAATATGACTTAGCTTTCTGCAGGAACGGCACAGAGCAAAGACGCTGAGAAAACGGCCATGGGACCCAAACGGGATAACTAATTTCTAAGAATCAGTGCTTCACGGTGACTTTTCGTTTTATTTCTGCTTTTATGGATATTATTCTTGATAGGAAGAACTTTGCTGCCCTCCTTTCTGGGTAACAACTGCCCATTGTTCTATTGCATTTAATAATCATTTCGGATGTTAGTACACGTATCTACGTCCTGTGTTATAGACTTGACACTTTTTTGTGTTGATTTCTGTTAGTGGTTGGTAGCGGTGGGCTTAGTACTGGTGAGCATTATATGTTCCTGTTACAAATAGTGTAGTTTAAGAAAGGCAAACACTTAACATGTCTGGAATACATATATTCAGTAGTACTATAGATACATGTATTTATAAAGCATTTTATATGATAACTATATAAACTTATTACTTTTCAGTATGGGATTCCCATTTTCTAAAGGACACAGTGTAATCCTGGGTTAGTTGCATTGACCCGGCAGTGAGGAATTTAAGTAATAGCTGGCATTCCTGAGCAACCCCAACACAGCACTCTATTGAGCACTGTCCATGGATGAGTTAATTAAAATTCGTTTTTCTCACATCAGCAAAAGGAGATATTCATATCGGCAAGTCTAGAAACAGGCAAAATGCTTTTAATGAAAAAGCTTTTGCATTAAAACATGTAAATATTGCGTGTGTGCTTAATGATGTGTCTTTACGTATAAAACCTTTTCTTTCAGAGAGGAGCTTAGGTTTAATTTTTCTAACCTAAGCCTCAACCATAATACATCATCT